CTTAACTACAGAAAGAACAAAAGCTACCTAAACTCATTTACTGTACCTAACATCACAAAAAGATGAGAAAATTACATGATAAAAATACAAAATCATATGTCAATAATATTAACGAAAAAGAATGAAAAATTGGCAAGGCAAACCCAACAGTATGTTAAAAAGTAATTAAAAATATTATTATATAACTTCAAGGAAGATAAGCATATCCACAACTGTAGACACACCCACTAGTCAGAGATTTTAATACACACTTCAATAGCCAGTACTGACAAAATGAAATACACAATAGAAGACCTAAAATATTATGAACCAACTAGACTTAATTAACACTTACAGGATAAACAATAGAACAATACACATTCTCTTCAAGTGCATACGGAATAAGTATCAAGATCGATCACAGTCTGGAATATAAATAAAATCTCAATAAACTTAAAGGATTCAAGTAAAAAAAGGACATTTTCTGGCCACAGTGAAATTAAATAAGAAAACTGGAAAAGCTCCAAATGCTTGGGAATGACATAACACACTTCTAATAATTCTTAGATCAAAGAAGAAACCTAAAGATAAAATAGTAATTTCAATTGAAGAATAATGAAAACACAATATATCAAAATTTGTAGGATGTAGCTAACAAATGTATTAAGAAAATTTATGGTACTAAAATGCCTATATTAGGAAAAAAGGTCTCAAATCAGTGGCTTCAACTCCTACTTTAACTAGAAAAAACAAGCTAACTTAAACATCTAATAGGTAGAAGAAAAGCAATATCAAAGCAGAAATTAATGAAATACAAAACAGAAAACAATAAAATCTATAAAACTAAAACCCAATTCATTGAGAAAGTCAATAAAATTGATAAGCCTCCAGCCAGAAATGTAAAGAAGAAAGAGAGAAGACTCAATTATTAAGATAAGAAATAGAAGAGGTGAAATGATCAGGTAATCAACAAATATAAGAATGGTAAGTACTAGAATGTCAAGGCTGTGGGGAAACAGGCAATGCAATATATTGCTTCTGTAAATGAAAATCTGTAGTACCCCTTTGGAGGTAAATTTGAGAATAACTAATAGTACACATGGACTTATCATTTGACCCACAAGCTCCAATTCTAGGAATCTATGAAGATACCCCTGCAGCCACACAAAAATACATTTGCATAAAGTTATGTCTTTAGAATTGTATACAATAACAAAATAATAGAAAAAAATTCCTTTGCATAGGAGTATCATTTAAGATAGCGACACAATGGAATACTATACAGTTATAAAAAGGAACTGGAAAGATCTGTATGGATTCTTTAATTTCAAAACTACAAGTGCCAGTAAATAGAGAGGTTGATGTATTAAGACTTATTTTTCCTAAATATATTGTCCCAAAGAACTGATACTCTGAGGCTGTCTTATAAAGCCAAACCCTAAGTGATTAGCACAAACAAGGGAGTGCCACCAAGATTAAGTGTAAATGACTAAGTCTAAAGTACTGACCATAAAACAAATGATATCAAAGCATTCATAAAGGAGAATCTGTGAGACAATCCACAAAGCAGTTTGTATAGGTGGTTTTCAGAAAGACCCTCCTCAGAAGTTTATTTTTTTTAGGGGAAGAGAGCATCAGATCGATGGAAAGTTGTTGAGAGCACAGTGGGATGGGGCCCTTTCCAAACCTGACATCCAAGGTAGACTCTCAGAATGATGGACCCTGTGGCTGAGATCAAGAAATCTTCTTAAGTATTGAAAACTTCAGACTACTCCACTGAAAAATCCTACGTAAAAAGCCCAAAGCACTTGGGTTCCCTCCCCTTGAATCCACAAGTGGTGGTTGAAATACAGTTAATATTTAAATTTTTAAAATTTATTAGTGTCTTAGTCACTTTCCTTGTCACTGAGACACAATACCCCATACCCACAACTTAAAGGAGGAGAGGTGTATTTTGACTCACATTTTTACTCCATAGTTTGCTGGCTCCAAGGCAGGGTAGCATGGCAGAGGGGCATATGGTAGCAGAGGAAAAAGTGCCCACATCATGGTAGCAGAGGAAAAAGTGCCCACATCATGGCAGCCAGAAGGAGAGAGCAAAGGGAGGAGGGGGAGGGAGATACGTCCTTCCAAGTCAACCCCACCTCTTCCAACCAGACCCCATGTCCCAACACAAAGCCAACTGGAGCATCCCAATAATCTAGACCCCATCCATAAGCTCCCACCTCTGAGTGCATGAGACTTTGGAGGACATCCAAACTATAAAATACAGTAAAAGACAGAATGCCATTAATCCTTCTCAAATACTCCCCTTGCTTCAAACAATCTTATCCTATCACTCTTGCTACTTTAGCAGTTCTGGAATTCCTTTCATGAGTGTCATTATGATGTATGATTAAAAAATATGGTGACGCTACTCCTCAGTGCCTTCTAGCAGAAAAGCAGGCTTGAAACAACATTGTGGGGTTAATCACCCATGTTAATCACCGAATCTGGCACCATGTGACTTCTGGCTCAAAATAACAATAAAAGATAAATGTTTTCAATTGATTCAGGACATCAAGGCAACCATGACAGCACTAGTAAAGTCATCATGAAGGACTTCCAGAACTGCTTCAGAAAGTGGCAAGAATGATGGGATGTTTTTTGAACCAAGAAGGAGTATTCTGAGAGGGATTGATGGTGGTATTTTTTAATTTAATAAATTTTTTTAAAATTTAAGCGTCCACCATATTTGTGATGATGTATTGTATGTCTCCTGTTACTCCAGATGTGTGTTCTAGCCAGAGTGAAAGCCAGATGTGTTCCTCTTACCACCACCACCCCTATGTTTGAGCTGGCCTCAGCCATCTCTACTGCTGTCACTATGTGAGACAGACAGATGGTAGACCGTTCTGACAGGATGGGAGGAGACTTACTGCAGCCCATGATTCTCATCCCCACTCCTGCCTTTTCAGATCTAGAGCCACAGGTGTTTTCAAATTGTCACTTTAATGTTAGTTTCTCCACTCTGGGCTCCTGAAGCCAATTCAGTCTACATGCTATCCCCACCCCCCACCAAGAGTCACAAAGAAAGGTGTAGGAAAGATGTTCAGAGGGCAGGATGGAGTAGGTGGATCCAAGGCATTTCTCACACGTATTTCCCAGCCTTGTGCCCACCTCCTCCAATAGTCAAGAGTTGTTTCTTTGCCTGAATGCTTCCTTCAGGATGGCTCCCCACCTCTTGAGCTTGTGAACAAAATATAGGCCTAAGACACTCATAATTTTTAAAGGATTCTTTCCTCTACCAACAGATGCTGAAATTGTGGTCACCTGAGAAATTAGTTTTCAAGCTAACACAGCATGGGGCAACACCTCCCTATACACCTACCCACTTGAACATTCTACCACTCATACCATCTGTCTTAATCTTCACATGCATGTTCTTACTGTCCTTTCTCCACACAAGTAGACATATTTCTCTGTTGGTTAAAACAAGAGCCTGGTCACAGGAAACACTGTCAGCTTTATATGACCACAGCTTGTCTGCAGCAGCACTGCAGCTTGGATGGCAGAATCTTCTATCTCTGGTGAAGACAGCTGAAAGAAGGCTAGTGTAGGAACCAAAGCTTCTGGCCCTAGGCCTGGGCTTTGCTCTTTCGGCACACTCAGCCTGCTAGGAGCTTTTCTTAATGATTTTGGAGATGAACTAATTTTTAGTATTTTGTACAATGCTTGTATGACATACAAAAGAACACACACACAGGATTTGTCTTGAACATTATTAGTAAGCAAATCATTCAAATTCCAATTTTCAAAACCAGAATGATCTCTGATAACATCTGTATTTTGTATAGAGACTTTGTCCTAATTCTATTGTTTATATACTAGAACCAGGTGGAAAAAAATCTCTGTGCCCTGAGACAAACCAAAAATAAGTCACTATGTCTGGTTCTTTTACTGAGTGAAAAAAATCTTTGTGTATTTCCTCTTAAAGTAGATTCTCTCTCCAACCAAATCTATCCCTGATTTTTGCTCCTGTCTGAACACACATTAACTGTTGTGAATGTAAGAAACATTGTATGAGATGGACTCAGAAACTTGGGTAATTTTATAGCATATTTTCTTTAGATAACCTTGTAGTTTTATTTGGTAAGCTAGTTTTCAAATTAGTCTTTTGTACTTTATTCCTTCGCCATTTTTTGAATATTTGTAGAATTTTCTATAATCAAATAACATATAACTTGCCTGATCTCTTCCACTTTTTTTAAATGGGACCACTCTTTCCATGTATGATGCCAGCCTTCTTTAAAAATTATGAAAAGCATGAGTTATCCTAGTTCATTTAAAAACCTATACATCATCCCTTTTAATAGTTGTATGATATTGCCTTAACACTTGCAATGAGGATCAACATGACTGAACCACTTTCCTGACTGAATTTTTGGTGCTTGCCTGTCTTACTCTTATCCTTTTAGGTAACACTGAGGAAATACCTGTAAGGTAACAGCAAAATCCAACTTCTCAGCTCTTCAAAATTTACACCATCGTCTATATCCCTCAATTACTCCTTCCACTCAATCCAGGCAGATGGATACCTCTCTCTCACAGAACACTTTTCCCAACTCCATGCTTTTCTTTGTATTGCCAAGTTCTTTCCTACACTTTAGAGTCCAAATTAAGTGAGTCCTTTTCTCTGAAGCATAAATGTCAACTGTAACCTTTAAGATTAAAGATGAGAAACTTTTATAATATATTGCACATATGATTATCACTGACTATTCGCATTATCTTTACATTTTGTTTGTTTGTTTTGCAGTATTGGGATTGAATCCAGAGCCTTCACACTGAGCTACAATTTCACACTGAGCTACAAGCCCAGACTTTTTTTTTAAAATAGTCTCGCTAAATCACTAAATTGCCCAGGACAGGCTTAAACTTTTGATCCTCTTATCTCAGCCTCTCAGAATGATGGGGTTTACAGGCATGCACCACCATACCCAGCTTGTATTTTAAGTTCAAGAAAAAAAGGTGATTTCTGCTAAATTTCACAGAACTTTATTGAAACACAAACAAGAATAGGATACCTACTCATTAGAACAACAATCAGAGGGATAGCTTATTTATGATGCCTCAGTTCACTGTAAGCTCAAATACTAAATATTATAATCTGGGCAAGACAAATATCAAGTGTGTTTTCAATTATAATATTCACTTGGCATCAGAAAAATGATCTAGCTTGCACAAAGATTTGGATAAAAAGCGTCAGCATTAAATAGGTACACTGCAATACACAACTATCTATGAAAACCAAAGCATTATTCAACAATCATAACTCAGGAACATAATGACAATCATACGCAAGCAACTAATCATACTAATTTTCTTGGTCTGCTTCAGGATCATTCTGATTGTCTATTTTGCTTTGCAGTTGCTTGGCAAATTTCTCAACCTCATGATATATAGAAATAAGGGGCTCAAGACTGAAATCATCATCATCATCATCAATGAACACTGTATCTTTTCTGATATTGGTACCAATATTCTCAAATATTGCAAGAACAATTTGAATATTGTCATTTGTCTCTTCCCTGTAAAACAAGCCCATAAATTCTGACACTGCTTCAGTACTGAGTAGCTCTTTCATCATGATAAAATTTTCAGACAAATTCAGCAGCATTTCCAGAACATGAAACCTCGTTTTGTTATTGCCAGTAGCTAGTAAGGTGAGAAAGCCAGACATATAATTGGCAACCAGTGTGTGGTAGTCAGTAGTAGTAGTGAGATATCTAATCATCCTTAATCCAGACAGCTGCTCAGGGGAATCCACACTGTAAGCAAGGGTTTCCTCACACACTTGACATACGTATGTCTGAATCATGTTTAGATTTGGATAAGATGGAGCCGTAAGAATCATCTCTTTCAAAAACCTTGTCTTATCTCTGGAGGATGGATAATTCAGCAAGGTTTCAATAAGTGAGACAACACCTGACTCCCGAATAAAATCTCTGGTAAATTGAGAAGCCCTTCTCATACCCATTGCAATTTTAGATATTTCATGAATAAAAGGATCCTGAATTCTGTCCATTAATAAAAGGAGCTCTTCAAACTCTTCAGAATCAATTCTAAGTTCACACTGTATGCAGTTGCAGGACCAGCTCTCAGACTCTGCACTCTCTTTGGCCCTAAGATGCTCTCGAACTTCTTGGACTGACCGGTAGGATGGGTCATACTGAAATGAGAACTCAGGTTCAACATGAAGGAAAGACTCTTGCTCTTCATCTTCTGCAATACGCTCCACATGCCTGTTTTCCCCAAACAGTTCAGAGAACAGAGGGGCCGCTTCTCTTGGAAATATAAAAGAGCTTAGAGATGGGAAGCCAACTCTACCCCATGGACCGGGTTTGAACTGAATAGTGACCTCCTCCCAGCTCTGGGGTCTGTGTGAAAGGTCAGGTTCCTCCTTAACTGAGCCCCAAGACTCACAAGTAGCCCTGAACACAGGGCTAGGATTTGATTCAAAATGGGCCTCATCTCCTATCCAGAACCAGGACCCCACTATGTCCTCCTCATCAACTAATATCCTAGACTCACAGTTGGTTCCATCATCAGTCCCATTATTCACCTCATCTGTAGCTCTACACCAAGTCTCAACAACTTCTTCTTCATCATCTTGTGACCTGCACTCACAGGTAGCTACAGTTCCAGTTTCCTTAATGGTCTTGTCTGTAGACCAGAACCAGGCCTCAACAATCATTTCTTCATCATACTCTGGCTTCGATACACAGCACATCCCTGCTTCTATATTGACTTCTTTTTTAGCACAGCAGGACTCCAAAATTGTTTTTTCTTCAGTTTTTGACCTGGTTTCCTCTACTGCCTGAGATCCAGCTTCTATGTTAGCTTCTTTAGGCCAGAACCAGGATCCAACAATGATTTCTTCCTCCTCAGTCCCAGTTTTGGACTCAAAGGTATCTGCTGTAACTGCCTCCAGACTAGTTTCTTGTTCCCAGAACCAGGACCCAACAATGACTTCCTCTGCATCAGCTTTGGAACTGTATTTGCTGGAAAACCCAGACTCTGTAACAGCCTCTTGCTTACCACAGGACCTAAAAACAGATTCCTCCTCCTCAACTCCTAAACTGTTCTCTTCTCTACCCTCTCTTTGTGCCTCAAGTCTGTCCTCTTCCTCAGACCAGAACCAAGAACCAATAATGTCCTCCTCTTCAGCTTCTGGCCAGGACTCCTTTCTATCAGTAACCTCTATAGTGGTGTCTTTATCTTCTTTCCAGAACTGAGACTTGGTCATAGTCTTCTCTTTAGTTGGTAACATGGCCTCTTGTCTAATCTTATAATCTGTACTGCCCTCTTCAGCAGCCCATAACCACGACCCCACTAGGGCCTCTGGTCGTGTGTATTTTCTAGACCAGAACCTTGAATCAGCAATGTCCTCTTCCTCCTCTGCTCTAAATTTCCAGTTTCTTCTACTGGCATGATACATACAGGGTTCCTCTTCTGCCCAGAAGCAAGACTTATTAGTATCTTCAGTTTCCGCCATAAATTTGCATCTAGCACCAGCTCCATACTTCATATTGGCCTCTTCTCTGGCCACAAACGAAGACGATATAATGGCCTCTTCATCCTCCAGGCTAGACTTGCTGTTGACTGTAGACTCCTCACATGCATCTACTCTGGCCCAGAACCAGGACCCAAACATGGGATCTTCCTCCTCCTCAGCTCCTGGCACATCACTGCTAGCTTCCGTTGCAGAATCCATAGAAGTCTGGTTTTCAGACCAAAACCAGGACAAATACATTGTCTCTTCTTCAGATTCTTGGCTAAATTCTTCTCCAACCCCAGCCCCAATACTGACTTCTCCAGCCCATAACCAGGGACCTATGACTTCTTCCGCAGACCTTGGCCTTGATTCACAGCTGATCCCAACATCAGATTCTCCACTGGCCTCATCAGTGCTCCAGAACCAGGCCCCAAATATCGTCTCTTCTTTGGGCTCGGGATTGACTTCTTCACCAGCCCAGAACCAGGAACCAACAATGACCTCTTCATCATTAGCTGCTAGTATAGATTGAGAGGTGGCCTCAGCCCCCATTTCTATACTAGTTTTCTCCCCATCTCCTAAACAGGAATTGTCAATAAGCTCCTTGACCTCCAGTCTGGATTTGCTGCTGGACCTGGTCTCCATACTGACCTCTTCTTCAGTCCAGAACCAACTACCAATAATGGACTCATCCTTTAATTGTGGACTGGACTTTATGCTGGGAACATCCATCAGGCTGGACTCTTCTGTAGCCCAGAACCAGGTCTCAATGAAGGTCTCTTCCTGTGGTCTTTCTTCTCGTTTGTCCCTGGTTCTGGCTTCTTCCTTTTCCATTGCTTGGGCCCTGGACTCTTTTTTGGTGTTACACCTTAAAAATGTATTACCCTTTTCCTCAGGCCAGAACCAGGACTCTTTTTGATTTACATCTGTAGACTCAGTCATGGTTTCAATGCAAGCTTCTTGCTTGGGACTGTAACGGGCCCTCTCATTGGTCTCTTTCCTGGTTCTAGGTAAGGTACTATATTTGGTCTCTTCTCTATCCCAGAACCAGGACTTCATAGCATTTTCATACTCAGACCGAGGACTGAATTCGATATTGACTTCTTTCTCAGACCTAAACCAGGATCTGCTATTAACCTCTTCCCTGGATTTGGACAAGGGATTGGTCTTCTGTTTACCACAAAACCAGGACGTCTTAAGAGACTCATCCTCAGAACCAGAACTACTAGACACAATATAGAGATCCTGTTTGTTTTTGTGCCTAGAATAGTTAGTTGCCTCTTGTTTGGACATGTACTTGGATCTGGTACTGGCTTTTATCCTGTTTCTAGGATGAAATCTTCCATTGACCTCTTCTTGACTCCAGAACCAGGAATTCACAGATTTGTCTACCCAATTGAAATCAGAATTCTGAGAAGGCTTCTGTTTGGATATATGCCTGGGATAACTCCAGGGCTCACTATCAGTCACTTTTCCTGACACAAATGAAGATGGGAATCCCACTTGAGAATGAACCTTCTTTCCAGGAAAGCTTTCATTGTCTATATTAATCGATTCTCTATCCATAAACAGGCATTTAGTATTAGCAACTGACCCAGAATCACTACTGACCCCTGGAGAGATTATGACATTGATTTGGGACTCTTGCTCCATCTTTGATATTGATTCAGGCCCAAATTCACTCAGGGCCCAGGTCTGGGCATCATCTTTGGATCTTGACTCATGGATCTTTTTAATTTTATACTTAGTATATACACTACCCATTGCTCTTGCTTCAGTTTTCGGCCATGTTCCAGGAACAACCTTGGTCTTGGTTTTAGGCCTCGCTCCAGTCATTATCTGGGCCTGGGTCCTAACCTTAGGTCTGACCACCAGAGGGACTTCATTCTCTATCCCAGCTGCACTAACAACCTTTTCCTCAGGCTTCTTTTCATGTTTATCCTCGGTATAAAGCTCAAACTCTGTACGAGTCATGATACAAATTAGAAAAAGTTATATTCCCCTCCTCAAACCACAGGAGTAATTGCAGCCAAAGAGCAGTCAGAGCACTGTATCCTTACACTCTGATCATTTCAAAATTTAGACTATAAACTGAAAAGCAAAACTGAGGCTTGATCACCAATTCAGCATTCACTGAGCCTCCTACTAAAGCATGGTCTCACTCAATTATGCATACACAAGGCAGAAATACAAGAAGGTGAGAAGGGGATTGCTGGATGGTTCCTTGCTGGGTGCAGACCCGTTGAGGGTGATGGCCAGCAGCAACTCCAGCACCACCAGAGCTGTCACTGGAGGTGGATCTACGGAGAGAGAACAAAATGGGGAATTGAGTCCCTCATCCAATTGTGCTGCCTCACGCAGAGACTTACATGGACAGATTGGTGGTGAATGCCAGGTGGAAAAATTAAACTATGAGAAAGTCTCTCTGTCCCTCTTGCCTGCTACAAAACAGGTATGGAGATGGTCGGGGAGTGTGTTGACAATGGAGAGGCAGAGAAGCCCCGTGATGGGACCCTAATCACCCCTGGACCCCACCACAAGTGGCTGGTCTCCACTACTCCACCCAAAAGTGAACCCTCACCCATACAAACCTGCACGGGTATGGTGCAATTTCCACCTCTTTTCTTTGTTCAAGTGATGTTAAGCCCCACAGCCAACTGCAGGGGTCCTAC